CTCTCTACCTTTGATTTTCAACGGTAACTCTAAACTTTGCCTATGGTGATTTGCTCCTAAATTCTTGTTCTCACTTTGCCTTTTCCCCAAAATAATACGTACTGACTACTCTTAGGTTTTCTAATCCTTTTATGTATTTATTAAAAACCTAATTTAATCTACTAATAGTTGTACCTTGGCCCAAACTTATTAGAGTTCCACCCAAAACCTCTATTTTCTATTTAATTTTAATATTATTTAATTATCTAATTATTTAATTAAATAGCTAAACTTTTTTCTACCAATCCCAACATAGCACAAACATGCCAAAACACCAAATCATCAATCCAATGCATATAAAATTCATTTAAATAAATAATTAAAGCATAAAATTCAATTAAATAAGTAATTTAAAGAAAACATGGTGTTACGCCTCTCTTCCACTTATAAAAATTCCGCCCTCGAAAATTACCTGAACGAAACAGCTTTGGATAAAAATCTCTCATCCGACTTTCCAGCTCCCACATCATGCTTCCACCAGCAGGTCCTCTCCAAACAACCATGACTTAAACGATCTTTTTACCTTTCAATTTTCTCACTTCTTAGCCACCGATTCGCACTGGTGATGCCTCCACAGTCAATTATCTCTCACTTGCACATCATCTATTCGAACCATATGAGACGGATCCAGAACATACTTATGAAGTTGGGACACATGAAACAGACTGTGAATATCTGAAAGAGATTCTGGATAAAGCAACCCTGTAGGCCACTTCTCTTACTCACTTCATAATCTGATAAGGACCAATGAAACACAAAGTAAGCTTTCGAGACTTCAAAGCTCAACCAACACCAGTTACCAGAGTAACTCTAAAAAATACATGATCTCTCTCTTGGAATTCAAGTGTTTTCCTCTAGTTGTCATGATAACTCTTCTGGAGACTCTGCAAAGTTTTCATATTCTCTAGGATAATCTTGATCTTCTCGGTAGTCTGCTAAATAATATCAGGTCCAAACACAACACTTTAACAAAAATCATACCAACCCAAGGTGTCCTACACCTTATATCACACAAAGCCTCAAACAGTATCATTCCAATACTAGAATGGAAAATGTTGTTGCAAGTGAACTCAACCAATGGTAAGTAACTTTCCTAGTTACTTCCCTGCTCCAAAACACAAGCTCTCAGCAAATCCTTCAAAGATTGGATAACCCTATCTGTTTGAGTGTCTATTTGTGGATGATAAGCAGAACTAAACTTCAGCTTAGTACCCATAGCTTCCTGCAAACTCCTCCGGAGCCTCGATGTGAATCTTGGATCTCTATCAGAAACAATACTCGAATGAATACCACACAAGCTAACAACCTTCTCAATATACATTTCAGTCAACTTCTACAATGAATAACTGATCTTAATCAGAATGAAATGATCCAATTTAGTCAATCTATCCACTATAACCCATACTGAATCATTTCCTTTAGAATTATTTGGAAAACTCGTAAAAAATCATGAAAATACCACCCCACTTCCATTCAGGAAGATCCAATGGTTGCATCAAACCCAATAATTTCTGATGTTCAATCTTCGATTTCTAGCAAGTCAAACACTCATAAATGAATTCAGTTATATCCTTCTTCATTTATAGCCACCAAAACATTTTATTCAAGTCTTGATACATTTTAGTAGCACAGAGATGAATACTCATACTACTTTTATGACCTTCTTCAAGAACATTTTAGTCGATCGTGGAGACCTGGACAACTTCCTTATTGAACCTTTCTATATAGGCTTGAAGAGGTTCATAGTTTCATTGAATGATGGCCTCAAGGGAAGTTTCGGTCTTTGAGTGTCGGTGAGAGGTCGTGAAGTGTCTAGAGAATATTCTCCCCAATTTCCTCCATGATGTGATGGAATCATCAGGGAGTCTTTTGTACCAGACCATTGCTCCCTTTCGGAGCGTGGTCAGGAATAACCTACATTTGATGGCGCCCCGAACGCCACGATAATCGAGTAACGCATTGATATTTTCGTTGTGCTCGTCAGGGTCCATAGTACTGTTGTATGTGCTTAGAGAAAGGGGTTTCTCCAGTCCCTTAGGTAGGCACATGACCATAATCTCCTGGGGCAACAGGCCGTGAGGCTCGTCGTCGCTACTGCTGTTGGAGCATGATGGGGAGTAGGTGCCCCGTCTATAGGTATGATGGTGATCTCGACGGGGAGATGAGGTTCGTGTTCGACCCTTGGATCTGGGTAGAGGCGAACACTGAGACTCTGCTCGTTGATCCCTTCTGGTCATCTTGGGTCGCAGGGAATGCTGGTTCCTAGGAGAGATATGGTCACGCTTTCTAACAGTCTGGGTTTTTGGCTCTAGAGGTGCCCGACGGTTTCTTTCGCGTCGAGGATGAGGACTTCGTGATCTATGATGGTCTTTCCTCGGCGGATGGGATCTTAGACAACCAGAATCTTCTAGAGCTCTAATCCTCGCGTTCTGATGGAAGATTATGAGGTTGATCTTGTTGAGAGCCTCGAGGAGGGCTGCCATGGCCGGGTCGGCGCTGGGCGAAACTGGAACTAGCAGGTGCTCCGAGATGAGTTGGACCTCATTGTGATTAACACGAACGAGGGAGAAAGAAGCAATGGCTCCATCTCTTTGTTGGTAGGCGTCACCCCAAGAGAGGTGGTTGCTCTGTCAGTATCAGTCTTGTTGACGGGGAGGAAGGCAGAGTTGCGAGCATCATGGGTGTTGTCACGGTTGACCATGATCGGAGTTTGGAAGAACTATTTTATTCTAGAATCTACGATGGAAGAAATACGGGGATAACAGAGTTCCCACACACGGCGCCACTGATCTTGACGACTGATCAGAACCTGAAGTTGGCCAGAGACAATTGTCTATGATGCTGGGTGTGAGAGAGAAGCATAGGGTGTACCTGCAAGACACTCCGATGCTAAAGTAAGAATCGGGAGAAAGAAGGCAAGTACAGAATATGTGTGTATTAAGGTGAATATTGAATACCTGACCCTCTCAAATGAGAGAGTTTTTATAGTGCCCCCAACGCTTGGCCATTTGTCCATATTTTCGGGGCAAGATAACCGTTTTTCGAAGAATATGTAACTACCAGAAACTAGCCGTTGGAATGGACAGAGGTGACCATAGCTAGCCGTTGTTACGAGCAGAGGTGTAGTAATGGGCACAAGCGTCGTGACTGTTTCTGGATGGTGGGACCGTGCATGATAGGAAATGACTGACGAGAAGAAGTGCTAACCTAGGGATAAATCGGTCAACCTCCCCTGGTGGAGGGGCAAAAAGGTAAATGCTCCCCCAATTTGGTTAGATTTAGGCAATTGGACCGTTTTGAGAGCAGAAGTGGATTGGGTCATGCCTAACCATTGGGACAGTTCAGAACATATAACATGACATGATATGGACCCCATTAGCAATCATTCTCTTTTTTTTTTTTGTATAAGTTCATTACATTAAATATGTAGATTTTAAAATTTCAATAGTCATAAGAGAAAAAAAGAATATACACTGACAGGGTAAATTACATTTACATTGACAATGTAAATTACTTTTACACTGTCAACCAATGACAAACGTGTATTCTGCCATGACACACTTTTATTTTTAAAATACTGTTATGATTTAACACTTTAAAATAATTTGATTGAATGTCTGTATAATATTTGTTTACACTGACAGTACACTACTTTTAAACTCTGGTCATAATTTATTTTATAAAATATTGAGAACTTTTTAAATTATTTTATTTATCTTTTTTTTATTAGTTATCATTAATATTATTTCCTCAATAATTTCTAATAAAAACACTTTTTATGTTAATTATATAGTTTAATGTTTTTTTGCATTTATTTTAAATATCATTTTTTTAATAAATTAATTTATCATTTAATTTCAACAATATCATTTATATAAAGTTATTTTTATTTTTTATTTATTTAATATATTGTTTTTTAAAAATAATGTTTAATACAATACATTTTATCATTTCATAATATATGTATACTTTGATAATATTCTCATTTGACAAATGTGCGTAACTATCTATAACCGTAACACATCTGTAACCATGTGTACGCATAAATATTTTATTAGTTATGTATGAAAAACTATTAGAAGAGAAATGTATCTCGCGTTGTATAGATCATTTAAAAAAGAATATCGGTACATAACTTAAATTAAAAAAAAAAAGAAATGATTTTTTAATTTATTTTTATATATTATAAATACCTATCTTTGAAGTAATAAACTAAAGATTAAATTTTATATAATTTATTTTTTCAAGCAAATAATTGAAGTAGGTATGAAATCACAAAGCATTGCAAATTGCAATCCATAAAATCAACATGTCTAAAATAATTGAAATGACGTAACAAAAAATAATTAAAAATTAAATAAGGTCGGCGATAATGCGATTCGTACACACGTTAACGACTGATATCTAATTGTCGCATATCAAATTCCAATAGCCCAGTTGTAAACGACACTTCCGTGTCCATAATTCTCACCAAAACGACCCCACTTCTCACACTGAGTACAAATCAAGTCTCAACCCTCGCACCCCAAGTTCCTGTCTCTTCCATTTCATAGCTCCTCCCCCAATCGTTTCGTTTCGTTGACTCGCGAATCGATGCCAACCTTCAAGATCGGTGAACTTTAGCTTCGTTTTCTTCACTTTAAGGTTCGATTTTTCGCTCTCACTTTGTTCAAACTTTAAACCCTAGTACAAGCTTCAAACCCTAGTTCAGCTTAATCCGATTCAATTGACGTTTTTTCTACGCTCTTTTTGTTTCAGATCTAGTTGATTCTCTACCTCAAGCTCTCGATTCCAAGCTCAAATCAATCTATACTCGATTCCTCTTCAGGTTCGTGTTTTACTACTCGATTTACTGATTTTGCTGCTGTTTCATGTAGATTCGTTAGGTTTTGAGATCTGAACGCTTTGATTTGGTGTTTTTGTTTGCAGATCTGAGTCGATTGGTTTTCAATTTTCTTGAAATGTCGGATTTAGCGAAGGATTTATCAAAGGATTTATCAAAGGATCTATCGAAGGATTTATCGAAAGGTGATTCGGTTCAAATCAGAGAGGTTTGGAACGATAATCTCGAAGAGGAATTCGCTTTGATCCGTGAAATCGTTGATGATTTTAACTATGTAGCTATGGATACAGAGTTTCCTGGTGTTGTTCTTCGTCCTGTAGGGGTTTTCAAACATATCAATGATTTTAACTACCAGACTTTGAAGGATAACGTTGATATGTTGAAGCTGATTCAGTTAGGTTTAACTTTCTCTGATGAGAATGGGAAGTTACCTACTTGTGGCACAGGAAATCCTTGCATCTGGCAATTTAATTTCCGTGAGTTTAATGTCAGCGAAGATATATTCGCGGCTGATTCTGTTGAGCTTTTGCATCAATGCGGAATTGATTTCACAAAGAACAGTGAGCAAGGGATTGACGTGAACCGATTCGGCGAGCTTCTTATGTCGTCGGGGGTTGTGTTAAACGATAACATGCAATGGGTTACTTTCCATAGTGGATATGATTTTGGTTATCTGTTGAAGCTTTTGACTTGCAGAACATTGCCTGATACGCAAACAGGGTTCTTCGATTTGATCAACATTTATTTTCCGATGCTTTATGATATCAAACATTTGATGAAATTCTGTAACAGTCTTCATGGTGGTTTGAACAAGCTTGCAGAGTTGTTGGAAGTCGAAAGGATTGGTGTTTGCCATCAAGCGGGATCGGATAGTTTACTCACTGCTTGTGCGTTTAGAAAGTTGAGGGATACGTTCTTCAATGGCGAAACAGAGAAATACTCTGGTGTGTTGTATGGATTAGGTGTTGAGACAGACTAATTGAAAGAAAGAAAAGTATAATTGGTTGTAGATTACAGTATCTCTTATGTGTTGTGAGTCTTTTTTTTACTTGTGTACACTTCTACCAGAAAGATATGGTTGTGGTTTACTTGTAACATTTTCATCCTCTTTGCTTGAATTGTAACTCAAATCTTAGCTTGTTTTGTTAGCTTGAGTTCTCTGTAAATCACTTCAGTTTAGTGTTTCAACAATAATAATTTATCATGATTCCTTTATTTTCTGCCATAGTTTGTTGCTACTTGATTTGATTCTTCTTAACAACTTTGTGTATATTTTGTTTCTGATTTCTCATCATGGGTCATATCAGTTTTAAATTATCTTAACCATTAATATGAATGAAATGGTGGAGGTTGGTAGTTGCTGGGGGAATTCATTTAATTGAAAATTAATTGGCCTATAGTGACTGAGTCTTAATGAGCAGGCTAGGGTTTAGGGTCAAGTTTGGGCTGGATTTGCCGTCGCCGCCTTCTCTTTCTAATTATTTAGTCTTATTGTTTGTAATTTAGGTGGCATCATTCCATTGGAAGAGGAAAAACAAGTTGATGGGAAATGATTGAAGAAAATAGTGGTACTCCATTTTTACGCGTTTTCTCACATTGCCTTGAAGATTCCTCAAAGTTGATTTGTTGATTTGAAATAAAATAAAAATGCCTAAAAAAAGGCATTTAATTGAGGGATTTTGCCTGTGAAAAGTGTGGTTTCTTAAATTTGAATAGCTGTAAAAGAGACGATGAACCGCAGGCAAGTTTGAATTGCTATTATTATATAATATTACTATCATCGATATATTGTAAGAAAACGTTCCATAAATACGCACGCGTCTATTAGCATGTGTTGACTGCGAAGACGTTTGGATCTATTTGGTATTAAATCTAAACATGAGGTTATATGCTGATCTTTGAAGGATCCGAAAATTAGATTGATGGGGGCAATCTTATAAGCAGACGGGATTGTTCATCAACGGCGGTTTATAAGAAAGAAAAGAAATATTTCACATTTATTAATAAAATTAAAATTTGTGTTTTCTTGAAGTATGTTTTATAAATAAATATAAAAACAGCTTTGATTGATGGTTGTTTATGAAAAAAAAAAGAAAAAGAAAATTAAATACAATTTACATTTAATTTTATATTAGAGAAGATGCATTTAAAAAAAAAAGATGATTACATGAAATAAAATTATGTTTTTTTCTTATAGTTTGTTAAAAAAAATGAGTGTTTTTTTTTTCTTTCTTATAAATTGTTACGAAAGGAATATATTTTATGTGGGGCTCTTGAACTAATAAAAAATATATCTAGAATTTAATATGTGAATACATTTCATCCAAGTTCAAAATTATTTGTGTTGTTTACATGTGTATGTGATAACAAATGAGTGAATGTATATTTCAATCTTTGGATAAATTTCATGTTTATTTGAAAACAAATAAGTGAATATATTTTTTAATCTCCGAACAAATTCTGGAATATAATTTTTTTATTGCTTGTATGTATGTGATAACAAAAGAGGAAACTGAATTTAAATATTCAGACAAATTTCTGAAACAAATTATAAGTATTGTCTGTTGTATATTTTGTAACAAGTGAATTTGAATTTCAATATCCAAACAAATTTATGTGTAGTATTATGAACAATAATATAATACTTGAGATTCTTTTTTTATGTTTAATAACACTACTAAGTTTGTTGATCGTTATGAATTACTTGTTTATCATTGGTGCTGAGAACTGAACGACATTCTCTTAATGAAATTTTTGTTTTGTGAACATGGAGGTGAGTGTCAAATATGTATACATGCACCAAGTCATTTGTAACATGTTTCTCATATGTAGTAGTTGTTTTTTTACACAATAAATCATACACATAAGTCATTCATAATTCATAATTAAGAATGTTTTTTCATAACACATTCATAAATCAAACATCAGTCATACACAACTCAATTATTCAAAATGCTTACATTAGAATATATTATAATACAACTATTGTGTATATCTAATACTCATGTTTCTCTTTTGCATCCTACATTCAATCTATTTTGTGTCTCTGATAATATTACAGGTAAAGTGACCCTTTCAGGAATGCATTTATGAAACTTTTACATATAGCTACGACCTCTCTCCTAATATCAATACTATGGTGACATACATGCAATACATCCATGACATGGTTCACCCTTATTTGTTCCTGTTATAATAACTTTCGATGAGCTGACTTAAGGGGATCTCTTGTTAGTTCTATTGTCATATAAGAATAAGAAACTCTATAAAATCATTGGATGTAACAATATATTGTACTGCATGATGAGGAGTTGGAAGGAGGATATGGTCGATGGGTGGCGCCCAACCCCGAGTTACCTTACATTTGAGGCGTTCCTCATATCGTAACTCATTTATCATCCTAGACTCCTAGAGCCTTGTTGATTTCCCGAGACCAGAATCCTATTCTTATGATGATGAGATACCTAGCATGAAATCTTTAAAATGATGAAATATCTGGCGCTGACTATTCGGGGTGGTGTCGGACCCGACACACCTCTTGGGGTGACTCATTCTAACGTTGCCCGCACCTGGGCTAAATTTTCCCTCAGCTTTGATGATACCCCAACAAATGTGTGATTGGTGGGTTGGACCCGTGCCACTGCTCGGATGAGGGCAGCACAACATTAAACTAACCCCAGATTTATGACTATTAATCTGAATTTGAAGGTGTCCACCGACCGACTTTCCCTAACCTGAATTCGGGGGATACTTATATGTTTAGCACTCCAAAACACGAGTATGTTTAGGATTTAGGATAGTGGAAGTGAAAGTGAAGATTTCAGATTGTGTACCATATAACCCTTTACGAAGGTGATAAGTCCAAGCTTTTGAGATTGACATTAATTTTGGTAAAACTAACTTGACATCAAGATGTTGGACAAAATGTCCTAACATGAAGAACAATCTGAAGAACAAGTTGTTGGACACAGTTTCCTATCATGATGATTCGACATCTTTGTCTGTTACTTTGCAGATTTGAATACTGCTATTTTATTTCCAGATTTTAGAATATTGAGGGAATATTTGTTTATTCTAAGATTGAGGAATCAGAGATTCTATTAGAATCTGAAGATATTGTTTTCTAAGTGTGGAGACATTTTAGGAAACTTTGGATTGAAGAAACTATTCTTTTGGAGAATAAGTTGCAGATTCCGTGTAACATAATTTATGCATTTTTGAAGCCCATATCCAGTCTAGTTTATGGTTATAAATAGGATGGATTTAACCTAATCAAGGTGTGAAAAATACATCGTTTCTTAGTGAGTTTTAGGGTTTGTGTATTTGTGAGTCTCTCTTGTATCGTGTTGATACTAGAACTGGACTGTTTTCATTGAGTTGTAATTTCTATCACTGTTGTGATTGAAAAGGAATTGAGAGGGGTCTCATGCCTAGAAGAGTCTTAGGTAGAAATTAAGCACGAATAGTGGTTAAGTGATAAGTTGTAAACCGAAAGTTGTTTAACTTAGAATTAATACTATCTAGTGTATTTCATTCCTGGCTTGGTAGCCCCCAGACGTAGGTGTTGTTATACACCGAACTGGATTAACAATTAATTTGTGTATTTGTGAGTCTCTCTTGTACCGTATTGATACTAGAGTTGGACTGTTTGCATTGAGTTGTAATTTCTATCACTGTTGTGATTGAAAGGGAATTGAGAGCGGTATCATACCTAGGAGAGTCTTAGGTAGAAATTAAGCACGAATTGTGATTAAGTGATAAGTTGTAAACCGGAGGTTGTTTAGCTTAGAATTAATACTATCTAGTGTATTTCATTCTTGGCTTGGTAGCCCCCAGACATAGGTGTTGTTGTACACCAAATTGAGTTAACAATTAATCCGTGTTCATTAACTTTCTGCTATTTTTATTGTTATTCTTCTTATCATTGTTCTTAGTAGAGATCAAGTGTCTCGACATCTCTTAGGACATCTGAGATTTGCATACCAGAATTTCAATTGGTATCAGGGCAGGCATCCTACTCTGTATCTGGGTGAGATTCAGGGAAGTTACTTTTTGGTGCAGTGGACAAGGAATGAGGAATATTAAACAGACCACACATCCTTGATGGATCCAATTGTGAATATTGGAAAATGCATATGGCGGCCTTTATTAAATACATGGATGGAAAAGCTTGGAAGTATGTGGTCAAAGGATGGGATCCACCAAATGCTAAAGATAAGGAAGTTAAGATTACTGATATTATAAATCCTGAGGAAGATCGGGATGATGAAGATGAAAAGCCAGCTCAGGGTAATTCTAAAGCATTGAATGCAATATTCATTAGAGTAGACAAAAACATATTTAATCGATAAAGAATTGTACTATTGCTAAAGATGCTTGGGAGATTTTGAAGACTGCTCATGAAGGAACCTCTAGGGTAAAATCATCAAGACTTCAACTTCTTGCAACCAAGTTTGAGAACTTCTAGATTAAGGAGGATGAAAGTATTCAAGACTTTCACATAACATTGTTGATATAGCCAATACTTCAAGTGATCTTCCAGAAGCTAAGTTGGTTCAGAAAATATTAAGATCTCTTCCAAAGAGATTTGACATGAAGGTGACTGCAATTGAAGAAGCCCAAGACATAAACACCGTGAAGGTGGATGAACTCATGAGATCTCTTCAGACTTTTGAATTGGAAATTAGTGAGAAATCTAAAAAGAAGAAAAGCATAGCCTTGGTGTCTAATCAAGGTGAATATGATCCTAAGTCCAAGGAAGAATTGTTTAAGGTTGTTGTGCTTCTTGGAAAATAGTACAACCAATTGTTAAATAGGGTGGAAGGGGATTCAAGATCAAATGTCAAGACTCAGTCATCTGACATTAACAAAAGGAAGGATTTTGGAAGAAGGTCCTAAACTAAAGAGAAAGCTAACAAAGGTAAAGGAATCCAATGCTATGAGTGTGAAGGATTTGGACACATCAAATATGAGTGTCTT